AAATAAGATTTTCGTGAAGGACGAAGGACATTTTTTTTTTGCTTTTCAAGTTTTTGGTAATTTGAATATTTTTTTTCTCCTTTACTTTGCCCCCTTCCACTTTCAATTTGCTTCCGGCGCCAATGCATATACTTCCATTGTATGTCCCACTTCGCGACCCGACCTTACATGTAATTCCGAGTCATTCTACGATAAATGGACGAATACATTATATAAATCATGAAAGAAATAACTGTTTCAAAAAGCAAAAACATAATTATAATCTTCTTAAAGACATATCATTGAATTTGGGGAAAAAATTGTCCACAACTCTTGCATAGATTACTTTTTAAGTACAATTTTAATATTCCATTGTTTTTTTGGTAATGTTACGGAAATAGTACTTGATCCAGTCCCATAATTTTTTTTAAAGAAAGCTAAATATGACCAATTGTTTGTTTCTGATGTCTAGTATAGACACAAATGTATGATTTATGAAGTCTCACATATCCAAAATTAAGTTAAAATTTCGGTAAAAATATCGTTAAGAAGTTAAGGTTATGGAAGTTAATTCTCCAACTTTTATAGTAAAAGTTAAAATTCTCTGCAATAGTTAAAATCAAAGCTTGTTTTAGGATATAAAACAAAAGTATGAATAATTTCGCCCCCCAAAGAATGAAAAAAAATATCTGTCATGCAAAATCCTTAATGAATTATTTCGGAAGTAAATGTTTTTCTCCAGTTCAATCTGTTATATTTAAAAAGGCGTAGTCTTAGAAATAAATAACTGACTCACAACTAGTATTAATGATATAAGGTTTTTTTTTTTTGTTAAATTTCAGTTCTTTTTAATACCTGCAAATAATCTGTCCATGAAATTTAGAGCAAACTGAAGTTAATAAATTTTTAGCGATATGCTATGATTACTTATGAAAGAAGATCCATGCATTTCTTTTTCGAGAAGTGGTTTGATTTCATTTATTTATTAAAGATAAAAAACTTATTTAACATTCTTCGCAGTCTGTTAGTCCCTGAACGCTTTTACGGCTGAGAATCCCGTCTTGAAATTTGTATATAAATGAAGCGACATTAAGATTTGCATTGGAATACGTTTTCAACATTAGGCCTTCATGATGTTCAGTTCTAAACTTTAACTCCATATATATCTGTAATTATTAAAAAAAACATGCGTGTATTGTTATATCTTAGAGCTGAATTCGATCTTAAAATTTATAGTTAAGATATTATAAGGACAAATCTGTAAGTGACATGAAAAAAAATTAATTGTCCACGCTTGTTTTTTTAAGAATGACTGTTCCGTGCTACGTCTCTCCCTTTGTATATAGCAACCATGGTAACAGAAAGGGAAATAATTCAAACGGAATTAAGTTTCCCGATTTTTTAAAAAATAACTATCTCAGTGTACATTCATTATTTTATTTTCATGTTCCTATACATTCATTTTATATTAGATAAAGATAAGAGTAAGAAAAATAATTGCGTCAGTTAAATGCAGTTTGTGCGTTAGCAAAAATATATCTTTCATCGAAATTTCAACTCCTAATATGTTTCGTCGTTGTGACAGCTTTTTCTTTCAAAGTACATTTAAAATACTAGCCTAAGGACTCGAAAAAAGATTTATAAGCTTGTATATTTTTTCTTTACTTTTAATAACACATCCGAAAAGTAAGAAAATGGTAACGACAATACCTGATTACTTTATAAATTATTCCTACTACATGTAGGAATGACACTGAAACAGTGGGTGTGAGAAATCGGGGCGTTGGGTCAAGAACTCTCACTTATATTCTAAAGCTGAAGAAAATTCCCTTTTTTACATGTTTATGGCTCAAAACGTTTCGTATATAATAATTCTTCTTTATAAATAATTCCTTTCAAAAATAAATTTGTTCCATATATTAAAAGAATCGATTTATTTAAGACCGAGCTCATGAACGATTTCATTGTGTACACGCAAAACGTTAGATGACGTCATAGTGCTTTTTTTTGTTTTACTCGAAAAAGTTCAAATATTCAACAGCAAATATTTCTGTAACGGATGCTCGTACTTTTTAATGTCCAATAGAGAAAATGTAGGGAAAATTGCCCGCTTTTAGGATATGGCATTCATTTCTTTTTATCGTGTGCTGTAAGTGAGATACAGCCTACAGAAGATAGCATAAAATCACTCATTTATGCGTAATTTTACTAACTTCCCGCAATTATCTTCAATGTTCAATTCAAGTTTACAATAATTTCTTAACATCGCAGAGAAAAACTGAAAATAGAAAAACTGTTGTGTTTCTTCTCTAGTTTCAGAAAATATCAACTGTTTTGTTGTATCCCAATTATTTACAAAATGCCAACAATTAAATCACTGTGATGCTGAAAATGCGTCAAAAAGCGCACTTGGCCGTTAAGGGGTTAAGTGGGTTCGTCAAACAACACTGTTAGACGTGTTTGTCCGCATTTTGTACAAGGAAAGAACAGACCTCAAAAGTGGCTGCATACCAAACTGAAAAAGTGAAAAAGTGCAAGAAAAATGCTATCAGGAGGGTCAAATATGCACATCGAAATCGTTGAAATTCACCAGCCTCTTGGGGCTTCGCCCCATGGACCCCCACCAGGGCTTCGACCTGTACCCAATTGGGGCCTTAACTTAAGGTGCCCCCCCCCCCCCCCGTCTATTCAAGCATATGGCTTTCTCATTCTTAAGAAGATTTTTAAAGAATTTTCCTATACATTTCTATGTAAAACTTTGGTCAGCCATTTTGGCCCCTCCCTACCCCCGGGGGTCATGATTTGAACAAACTTGAATCTACACTACCTGAGGATGTTTCCCCACAAGTTTCATCTTTCCTGGCACAGTGGTTCTTGAGAAGAAGATTTCTAAAATATGCCACCAAATTTTCATTAATTCCCAATTATCTCCCCTTGAATTAGGGCGTGGCCCTTCATTTGAACAAACTTGAATCCCCTTCACCCAAGGATACTTTGTGGCAAGTTTGGTTGAAATTGGCCCAGCGGTTAATTCTTGAGAAGAAGTCGAAAATGTGAAAAGTTTACAGACAGACGGACAGACAGACGGACGCTGGACAAAATGTGATCAGAAAAGCTCACTTGAGCTTTCAGCTCAGGTGAGCTAAAAATCTTTTTGGAATGGGTAGAGACATATCAGCTAGAATGGGAGTCGTCTACATCTATAATGAAACATTTAATTTTCACTAATGTAAAAACTCTTCCAACCCTGGTTTCTCTGTTTGAACTCTTGCAAATTCTGCCCATTGTATCCTACCATTTTATACAATAAAATTTCGTAATTTAAAATAAATTTCAGTCAAACTATTCATGAATTCGTCTTCTAGCATCTTCTTACTCATATCAGCACAGCCGACAACAAACCGGAATCGGTATCTCGAACCCGATGTATTTTCATGAAAACTAACCGTTTTGAAAAAAATAAGTACAATGTCAACCCAAGATGTTGAAACAATCATAATATGAATATGAATTCTTCTTTGTAACATAAGCCCATAATCAAAGTTTAAACCATATTCATTACAATCCATTTCGTATCAACAATGAAAATTCAGCAACATTAAAAGGAAAAGTAATATTGTATTTATTCCGTAAATGACAAACAGGTAAATATTTTTTTGACATTTTATAACATATCAAGTAAATAGCAAATGATTTAAGGTGTATCAGGTTTGAATATTACAATAGCAACATAATTCTTAAAACAGTTGAATTGCGTTTATTCCGTAAATTGCATAAATTAAAATTCAAGAAAGTTGAAAAAAAGAATAAATAGCAAGCTCTAAAGTATTTTTTTCTTTTCTCATTCATTCATAAATAAATAGCACATAATTTGATAAGTGTCTAGTTTGACTATTTCAAATCCAACATAATTTTAAAGAAATAAAATAAAATTGCGTTTACTACGTAATTTGCATAAATCAAAATTTAAGAAAGTTGTAAGAAACTTAATGGAATAAATAGCAAACTTTATTTTATTGTCATTCATTAATTGTTTGCTGTTTATACATTTAAGCTGTGAATGAAAACAGCGTAACTGAATAAATTTAAGGAATAAATCGCTTATTTTTGAATTAATCTCCTTACATATCTGTTCTGTTTGTGGTATTATATACTTCACTTTACATGAAAACAACGAAAAAGGGAAACTTGCGTCGGTATACAAGGGGTGTACGGAAATTATTGAGACAATTACATTTACTCCACAAAGGACAGAGATAATTTCATATTCTATATTTTCCATTTGTATTGTATAATTTTTATTTTGTTCCATTATTTCCATTTGCATTCTAAAATTTTACATCCGTGTTTAAAATTTTTATTTGACGAATTCATGCATTCTAAATTTTTCCTTTTGCATAATATAATTTTTCATTTTTCATTTCATTTAATTTCTTTTTATTCAGTTAAAAATATCACAGAATGTCATGGTTACACACATAAGTTAAAAACATTACAGTTTAGCCTTCTGATAGAAAAAAAACCCGGACATAATTATCTCAGCACTATGTTACTTAATAAAGATCTCACTGAACATGACTTGTGCATTTATCATATTTATATAAGTTAAGATATAAGTATGTATAATTTTTATTTGTTTTATGTATTGCATCGTTTGGCATGCAACGATTAACATGTTATATTTCCTATCTCTTATTGTTTATATCAAACTGAGCCCTACCTCTCAAATTAAAAAATAACATGAATGTCCCCACCAAGATGACAAGATGAATAAAAATATCTTTGGACTCGGGGTGAATATTAGGGGGAGTGGTTCCTGTCCACAAGAACCTGTGAACTGTTTCGAGGAATATTCTTTGAAAAAGCACAGTAAGGTCGATCACGTGAACTGTGATTTTGTATTTTATTTAATATTTTTTAAAGAATGTCTTATGATAAGCAGTGCATGTTTTGGTCCAGCTGATTCAAGAAATATTTTATGACAAAACTGCATGACATATACAATTTTTATTGCCCCTTACTTTTACACTGAGGTCCGTCTGCATAGAAGCCATCATTACAACTTGTACACTTCTCCGGGGAGGAGCATTTTCCCCCACTGTCACGCACCAGTGGATGGTTCCGCTTCAAAATTCCATCACCAGAGTAACGCAATGTGCAGGCGGCCCCACCGTAATCTGTTTTACCATCACAAATAGCTGTAAATGAAAAGTGAAACAATAAATCAATGGATTAAGACATTTTTGGGGATTCTAGGCACTCAAAATACTTGATCTCAGTACATCAAAACAATAACCATTGTGGCTCAAGCATGTACAAAAACGCATTGAAGTAATGATTCTATACACTAAGAATTTTTCTAATACTGTATGCTTATCCATTTTGGATTGAGAGGGGCATATATTTCATATTAAACCATGGATCTATATCCTATATACCTAATATCTATATAGGTCCCTGATTCAACCTACAATGAAGTGCATTGAAGTGGTAAAATTTTCCATTTGGATGAAACGTTCTGAGAAACAATTTTTAATTGAAGTGCATTGAAGTGGTAAAATTTTCCGTTCGAATGGAACGTTTTGAGCTATCTTTAGAACGTTTATTGTCATCTTATGACACGCCCATTTCTTTAGAAATGGATAAAACGGTAAGTTGTTTCTTCAAATACCTGTAGAACAGGTTTTCTATAAATATAATAGCCAATCAAATTGAGGATCTAAATAAACACCGAGTAAACACGTGTTCGACCGAAACATGTGTTGTGGTAACTTTAATAGACATGTTAAGTTCAAAAATATGTACATATTCGTTGCAATTTGTGTTTTACAGAAGCGGGGAGTCTCTTACTCCCTCTTCTATTTTTTTTTAAAGCTCCATTTCAGTGTAACCCATGATGCTTGTCGCGAAGAATGGGGTGTCCTAAAACTACGACGAATATTTCTTTCTCGTTTCTAAAAATATGGGCGTGTCATTATGTTATAATTGACGTTCAAAATATGACTCAGAACTTTTCATCCAAACGGGAAATTTTACCACTTCAATGCGCTTCATTGTATATACACCAGTCAATCAAGACGAGTAAGAATATACACAACAGCCAATCATGGAAAGTATACACGCTGGCTAATCATAAAAGGCATATGTATACAAGACCAAACACGAAGACTACATGTATACATACCAACCAATACAGACGAGTAGGAATATACACAAGAGCATATCATAAATAAAGATTATACACAGCAACCAATTATGAAGAGTAGACATAGCAACCGATTAAAAAGAGAATACACACTAAACAATTAATGGATGATTCATGATCAAGCATGGAGTCTGATACCGTATTTGCAGGATGTGGGATCATCTGGTTCGCTTCTGTATCCGGGGCAACAGTATAGTTCAGATTTATAAATGGTTCTAAAATAATAATAATAAAAAAAATGATTAAATTTCTAATCTCTATTAATGAAGTGAATCTAAATCATTCCTTAAATGCTGAGTTTTCTTCAGACAAAATAAGAGAGAGAGAGAGAGAGAGAGAGAGAGAGAGAGAGAGAGAGAGAGAGAGAGAGAGAGAGAGAGAGAGAGAACACCTGTATCTGGTACACCGGCCCCAGTTAAAGAATTTACATTTCGCCTTATATCTCTCCTTAACTGACCATGTTTTCTTGCAAACATTAGCCCTGAAATAAAAAACAACATAGAAGATGTAAAGAAATAAAGAACTTTTAATTTATATTTCATTAAATGAATCAAATCACGAATAATTATACAAGGCCGTAACTAGGCTCAATTTTTTAGTGAGGCAAGGGTGCTGGGCATTCCTAGTCTCAGACGGGGCAAGGGTAGTACGTGTATCTCATGACCAGTGATTGAGGTTTCCCAGGGGAGGGAGGTCCTGAAACCTGTGTATTAGAAAATAAAATATTTAACGATTTAGAAAATAAAAGTTTTTACGTTTTGAATTGTCGCCCGCATGGCGCAGTGGTTATAGCGTATGCTCTTAAGTCGCAGACTAAGGAATTGATCCTTACATTACGGGTTCGTATCCCACGGCGGGATGTAGAGACAGGTTCTTCGGATGAGACCGTAAAAACCGAGGTTCTATGTCACAGTAAGTGATGGCACAAACAGATCTCTCACTGTTCAATCATCTTCACTGATCCTGAAAGCCCAGTACAGATTTAAAACTTGCAGCCCTCCATCGGCAAGTGTTTCAATATGAATGAAAAATTCTTAGAAGGGGTGTTAAATAAACGAATAATTTGCAAAATAAACATTTTGAATTAAGTTTTACATGCGATGTAAATGAAAATGAGGCACCTGGTTCGATGAACGATTTACAGAAATGGAAATAAAAGTTGAAAATATTAATTTAGCACGAAGACACACATAAGTAAAATGTAAAACTTTTTCACTTTTCAAAAAACTCTAAAAAATTTAGTGAGGCATTTGCCTCACTTGCCTCAATGGTAGTTACGACCTTGTAATATTAATTCTTTGAGAGAAAATGAATAGTGAATATCTTAAAGTACATACATTTTGAAACACCAAGTACATGTAAGATGTGCATCACAATTTCTTTGTTGTTAAATTGGAAGTCATTCATTCCAATGCGACAAGATAGCATGATCAATCCTTAGACAATTAACTGGTATTGAAGTGGGTCGGTCACGTGATCAAATCCTGTGAAGGCCGAAGGCCTTCTCAGAAGATTTGATTACGTACGGTACCGACCCACTTCAATTCCCATTGAAGTTTATAAACTTGTTATTTATTACTTATAATATATATACATTTGAGATGGAAAATTAAATATATTCGGATTTAAATATTGCACTAACAGGTCGCCGTGGATTTCCGACAAAAGTGCGCAAGGTGTAAATCGGCTTGAAAGGCGGGTAAGCTTCGAATACATCACGCTAAGGATTCTACTTCGAAGGGAATATTTTGTTAAAGACTACTTGTGATCAGTAATCGTGAACAGATTATTGTCTGGGAATATTTTTATTTGTGAAAAATGATTATAAATGCTTCAAGAAGACAGAAGAAACACGTCCGAAGTTTGATGATAAAAAGTTGGAGGAATTTCGGTCGCCTGAAAGGGATGGATGGATCCGATGGATAGAGACACTTGTCCGAGCCAGTTAATTTGCAAACAAGTATTAAATTTGATCAAAAACATTCAATTTACGATTTCACTACAATGAAGCGCATTGAAGTTGTAAAATTTTCCGTTCAAATGGAACGTTTTGAGCTATCTTTAGAACGTTTATTGTCATCTGATGACACGCCCATTTCTTTAGAAATAGATAAAACGGTCAATTTGTTTATTCGAATACCTGTAGAACAGGTTTTCCATAAATATAATAGCCAAACAAATTGACGGTCTACATAAGTACCGAGTTAGCACGTGTTCCACAGATACATGTGTTTTCGTAACTTCAATAGACATGATAAGTTCAAAAATATGTACATATTCGTTGCACTTTGTATTTTACAGAAGCGGAGAGTCTCCATAACTCTCTCTTCTGATTTTTTAAGCTCCATTTCAGTGTAACTCATATTGCTTGTCGCGAAGAATGGGTGTCCTAAAACATTACGACGAATATTTCTTTCTCGTTTCTAAAAATATGGGCGTGTCATTATGTTGTAAATGACGTTCAAAACATGACTCAAAACATGACCCAAACGGAAATTTTTACCACTTCAATGCGCTTCATTGTAACTAAAGCCATATTTATGATGTAAACACGGAGACACTGGCGACAGCTTACATTGATCTACGACAGCGCCGATCGAGGTTTTTGTCAGCTGTTCATGAGGAGATTGCAATGCTTTGATATTTTCCAACAGATTTACACATTTATCGTGAGTAGAATTTAATTAAACTAGAGGTACTGTGAGCAATGAGCTCACTAAATGATACCCCCGCCTCCCATATGAATATAATGGCAGTGTCCATGTTTTGCTCTGGAAAATCAAAAATATATGTCAGATCAAAACGTAAAATAGGACGTGCACAATGGCAATATGTAATTAAGAATCTGTGAAAGTTTCATTTAATTTCCTTCAGTGGTATGAGAGGAGTTGCGGATAAGAGATGGGTACCCCAAAGCGTAACACACGGACGGACGGAAATACCGATTACTATATACCCTCCCACTTTTCAAGCGGGGGGTATAAAAATCATAGTTTAAGTCTATTTCATGAAGATGTAACCGTGTAGATTTGGACGGTACTAAGGTTTCGTCTGGAACTACAATGAAGCGCATTGAAGTGGTAAAATTTTCCGTTTGAATGAAAAGTTCTGAGTCATGTTTTGAACGTCAATTATAACATAATGACACGCCCATATTTTTTTTAGAAACGAGAAAGAAATATTCCTCGTAGTTTTCGGACACCCCATTCTTCGCGACAAGCATCATGAGTTACACTGAAATGGAGCTTTAAAAAAATTAGAAGAGGGAGCTAGAGACTAACCTCTTCTGTAAAACACAAATTGCAACGAATATGTACATATTTTTGAACTTATCATGTCTATTGAAGTTACCAACAACACATGTTTCGGTCGAACACGTGTTTACTCGGTGTTTATTTAGACCCTCAATTTGATTGGCTATTATATTTATGGAAAACCTGTTCTACAGGTATTTGAAGAAACAACTTATCCATTTCAAAAGAAATGGGCGTGTCATTAGATGACAATAAACACTCTAAAGATAGCTCAAAACGTTCCATTCGAAAGGAAAATTTTACCACTTCAATGCGCTTCATTGTACATCCGTTGTTTGTAAAACGAACGGGGTGAGGAAATGTTGGCGTAGAGGGTACGAGGTATAAAGTAGAGGCGCTGTGTGGCCGTAAGGTAAAATCGAAGTATAGGTGTGCCGTATTCCCGAAGGTCCACCAATATGCAATTCCAGAGATAAAACAAATTATGAAGGATTCCGTATTTATTAGATGAGTCTCAACGATGGCAACAGTTTATATAAATCAACAAACAAACATATTAAAATGATCGAGTCGGATATGGCCGAAGTGGCCCCGGACTCAGAGTCCTACAATGAAGCGCATTGAAGTGGTAAAATTTTCTGTTTGGATGAAACGTCCTGAGTCATGTTTTGAACGTCAATTATAACATAATGACACGCCCATTTCTTTAGAAACTAAAAAGAAATATTCGTCGTAATGTCCAAGGACACCCCGCTCTTCGTGACAAGCAACATGAGTTACACCGAAATGGAGCTTTAAAAAAATTAGAAGAAAGAATTAGAGACTCCCCGCTTCTGTAAAACGCAAATTGCAACGAATATGTACATATTTTTAAACTTATCATATCTATTGAAGTTACCACAACACATGTTTCGGTCGAACGCGTGTTTACTCGGTGTTTATTTAGACCGTCAATTTGATTGGCTATTATATTTATGGAAAACCTGTTCTACGGGTATTCGAATAAACAAATTGACCGTTTTATCCATTTCTAAAGAAATGGGCGTGTCATAAGATGACAATAAACGTTCTAAAGATAGCTCAAAACGTTCTATTCGAACGGAAAATTTTACCACTTCAATGCGCTTCATTGTAACGAGTTGGACGTGGCCGAGGCTGGCCTCCGTTTATTCCAGACTAAAGATTGAAATTATACATGACTATTTATAAAAATGTACATAATGAGTAAATAAATGACAGGTGTTGGCATGAAGTAAATGAGTGAAAGATTCACATGTATAGTATAATTAAATAAACTCGATGACTCTTTGATGTTTGGACATGAAAAACATAATTACACAATGTTGTTATAAGAGATTAGCATGAGACATCGCACTCTGTCTCTCTGTAATTATAACATATCAAGAGTCCAAAAAGTGTCACTGGTCAATTAAACAATTAGATTCATGAAACATCGTGAGAAATAAAATATAACAAAAATATGAAATTAAAAGTAAAGTCTAAAATAAAGTTTGTTTTTTTAAGAAACGGTGAATTTTTCACTGTGATAATTTCCCACCGCTCCGGAAAAAAACACGTCCTCGTGTTTGGAAGGAATTTCAGATATATACATTTTTTTTGTTTGGAGTCTGTTCTTTGGTGATCTTGTACATTTTCACTGGTAAACACTAGTTATCGAAACTATCCTGGTGATTAACAAAGGAATGCCGAAAGAGTTGTTTCTGGATGTTGATTTGGTGTTGTCCATCGTTGATACTTTGGTCGAACGATTCAGGCTGAGCAAAGTGGTGTAATGAGGGAACTCGCTTGCTGTAGAGGTTCGGGATCTGACCATTGCAAAGTATATGCAGCGGCCCCGGGTGTTGTTTTACCTTTAGGATTCATCCACCAATTGTAACCGTGTTAGTTTTTGGTCATAAGTTGTAAATTAATTCCTGAACTATATCCGTTTTAGAGGGTAAACGTGGAAGAAGGAATGTTGGCGGGTATAACGAAGTAGTGGCGCTGTGTGGCCGTAATAAAACGCAAAGGGTAAAGGTGCCGTATTCCTTATGGTCTTCCAATATAAAGTCCAAGAATTGGTAAATCAGGTTTCCGAATTTATTAGGGACGATGGAGAATAACAAACATGAATTTTAACAATATCTTACAAGACTTAATCGAGTTGGATGTGGCCGGTAGAGCGTCGGGCCTCCAAACTGAAGAGATTGTAATGGACAAAGATATT